AATGTTTGATGAGTTCAGTCTGACTGAAATGTTAATATATACTTAGGGATCTATTGGCAGAAATGTAATGTAGAATAATCCTCATGATGTTTTCACTAGTTCGCTTCATCTAAAATGTATGAATTGTAGTTTTCTTTACCCCAGAAAAGGTCCTTTATATTTAAATGTTTTATATTTACACCAAGGGGACCCTCTCTACAGAGGCCTCCATGTTTTTTACATTAGTCCAGACTGGACAAATTTAACACCTTTTGAGTTTTTATGACAACTGAAGCTGCCACAGGTTCTTTATCATGTTTGGAAGGAGAGGGTGAGGCGAGGGGTGTTCAGCTGCAACATGCAATTTCAACACTAGATATCACTAAATTCTACCCACTGAACCTTAGCTTATCAGAGACTTGAGCTTTTATTTCTGGTGTTGTTCTGAGTTGCACTGACACAATAAAAGTAAAAGCATCAACGCTGTCCAATATTATATCCGGAATGAAAGGATTGTTGTTGAATTCAAATAAAGCTAAAATAGTTGTGATGTATTTATGTATTGTGATAAACTCTTCCTCCCCAAACTCTGTGTTTGTGAGAAGCTCTCTTTTAAAACCAGAGTGGACAAATGAAAAGTCTGGGACAGCAAAACCATTACCTTCATCTAAAAAAATATATACTGCTCTTTAGTATTTTTCACTTTGTTGTAACTTGTTTTGTCCCTGTTAGGATCCTGTAGATCAGTGACTCAGGTTTTTCAGTCATTTGGTTTTTGTTTAGTTTGGCTGTTGAGAGGTCTCAAAAATCAGAGTTAAACCTGAAATTACCTTGATTACTGCAAATCCTGCTTCATAGTACAGGCCCCTGGTCCCTTGTTCTCTTCTTTAGCATATTGTCTTTTATTCCTGCCATCATGTGTGTGTGTTTGTGTGTTCAGACTTTCTATCCTCCAGGATCACGTGGTGTTGGCAGTGCGTCAGCAGTACGTTGACATTGGCGACCAGGTGGTAACCCTGGGAGACGGGGACGAGGTGGCAGTGGTACCACCTCTCAGTGGAGGATAGAACACAACAGATAAAGTAAGTTAAAAAATAAATAAAGTGTTAGACTTAAAAGTGTGTGGTGTTTATGAGCATGAGTGTTTCTGTGATGGAAGCATCATCAGACTTTAGATTCCAAACATGAAACAAGAAAATCTCAGTCAATATGTTTCACTGCAGCCTTTTATGTTTTCTTAATTTCAGGAAGTAAAGTAATTTGTTAGATTATATTAAAAGAATGGAAATAATAATGTGGTAGTTTTATGTTCAATTTGGTTTAATTATGCTTATGTTTTTGAGTTGTCCATCTGTACATACATCAGTCCATCCAAATGTACATCCCATTCTTGTAAACTCTATATTTCAAGAATGACTTGAGGGAATTTCTTACTTTGGTGCAGTATTTCTAATCTTTGGTCATGTCCAACTTATTTCATGATGATCTTTAAAATTACTATAAAATAATGTTGTTGTTTTGAGCCCAATTTAAACAGTCCACAGTTCACAACTTTGTGGCATTTTCTGGTGGTGATGGTGAGATATCAAAAATGTATGAATCAATGGTATGTTGAAATTGAGACGTAACACACCTAACAGACTTCTTTTTTTCCAGAGATGTCAGAGGAGCGGAGAGACATCCTCAAGCTGAGCCGTGATTGGCTGCCTGTTCAGGAAGTGGTGGATGCCGTCAGCAGCGCTTCCTGTGGAGCTGTTTCAGTGTTTATAGGTTCACATTTTATTGTAATAATTTATTCACAGCTGCAGAAATAATTTACTTTATACACAGATGTTTCTGTTTAATATGAAACATTCTGTCTGCGAATGTTATCTTCCACAAACATTTTAGGAGTCACAATCACAATGTCTAAATGGAGAAAAAACGAATTTTGAAAATGTTTAAACATATTTTTTGGACAATATCTTTTTAGAGAACTTTAATAATTTCAAGGTTCAGTGTGTGGAATTAAGTGATATCTAGTGGTGAGGTTGTATGTTGCAGCTAAATACCCCTCACCCTCCCCTTCCAAACATGAAAGAGAACCTGTGGTAGCCCTCAGTTATCATAAAAACTTTTTTTTTAAAAGTTCGTCCACTCTGGGCTACGGTAAAAAAAAACATGGCGGCCTCTGTAGAGAGGACTCGCTTCTGCTGTAAATATAAAGTATTTAAATATAAAGAGCCCATTCTAGGGTAAAGAAAACAATTTAGATGAGACACACTGGTGAAAACACCACTAGCATTATTTCATATTTAATTTCTGCCAATAGAGCCCTTTCACCTAAATCTTACACCCTAGTCCTTTGAGAAACAATTTGTTACATTTCAGAGAGGAATCTTTTCTTAAAGGATATTATCAATGTGATAAAGTCATAATACTTCTGCAATAAAGTTATAATTTAAAGTAAAGTATCAAGACAATTATGATATTTTGGGGGAGGAAAAAAAAGGATATTTGTTGAATGTCATTATATTTTAGAAGGGGGGTAATCTAGTGTTAGTTTGTAGGGGCTGGGGACTAAATATCTCATTGAGTGTCCTCAAAAAGACAGAAGTATGTGTAATTGGTTTGTGTGTGTGTGTGTGCAGGTACAACACGTGAAGATGAGGTGGACGGCAGGAAGGTGATTGGTCTGGAGTACGAGGCGTACGAGCTCATGGCCCAGTCAGAGTTCACTAAACTGTGTGCTGACATTCGAGAGCGCTGGCCAAGTGTGACGCATATCTGTGTCCACCACAGGCTAGGGTGAGTCCCTAACACTACTAATGCTAAGTGCTAACACTAACTAGTGGTCTGCCAGTTTGGTAATAATATTACAAAAAGGTTGATGCTGCAGCTGAGGGATGGCGAAGGTCAAACTCATCTGTGAACTTCGTCCCTCAGGTGGGTGAAGGTGGGCGAGGCCAGTGTTGTCATGGCGATTTCGACACCTCATCGCCATGACAGCCAGCAGGCAATCCAGCATTGCATCAGCCAGCTGAAGGCCAATGTCCCAATCTGGAAGAAGGTACCGACCACAGGGACACAGAGTCGGCCGTGATTGTTGATGGGTGATGATGTTTGTTTGATTATTGATCATGTGACTCTGATCAACAGGAAGTGTATGACACGCAGGAGGCCAGCTGGAAGGAGAACTCTGAGTGTCCCTGGTCGAACAGTGGAGCTCAGAGAGAAAACATTAACATGTCGGTGTGAGCTGCTGCAAATAAAGTGTATAGTGTTATCGATCTTTGATTACTGGTCTCTGTTTGTGTTGTTAAAGTCTGAAACAACACAGACTTTGATGTCAGGTAAGTTGGTGAGGAATGTCTCAGTCAGTCAGTTCCTCATCGGACCAGACTTAACATGGCTCTACTTTAACATCAATCAACACATGCAATTTGTATGTAGGACTGACATCACCAAAGGATGAAGATTTATTTAGTCAACTGGGAAAAAAAAGCCTGTAAGTGGTTGATAGGTATACACTAGTCCTGACTCTTCAACCAAATGTTTTAAACAGTTATATCTGTAAAGACCCAACATTAGAAAATGTGATGTAATGTAACTTTTGCGATATGATATTACATCAGAAAGCTACCTGAAAAAAAGCAAAGCCTTCACGTTTGCCTTTCCAATGTTCAGAAACTGACTTAAAAACTGTGTATTTCTTCAGATTGGCAGCAGTTGTATTATTTCAGCTGTGATTTGGTGAAAAACTCTTTCTGCCTGCCCTTTTATGAGGAAACTGAGATCAGTCATAGTTTTTGTCTGACTCAAGTGTGGTCTGAGCTTACCAGGTAGCTTGTACTTGTTATGCCTATGTGCTGGGGACATTATAGTGGCCGGAAGCATAATATAAGTCTTTGGTCAGTCTGTCCTACTGTCATGAAAACTATGTCTTGGGAACTCCTCATGAAATTTCTTCAAATTTTATACAAATGTTTGGACTCAGGTATTGGTGGTCAAACCTCACAAAACATGCTTTTGACCATACTCAAGCATGTACGCTCTATTTGCATAATACACTCAATGCTATTTATTTATTCACTTTGAACGTCTCACAACATACTGTATGAGAGTCTGTAAACTAAATCTGCAGCTTAGTCTAATCTTGATGCTTCAGTAATGAAAAGCATTGAAGAGACAATGCGTACCCTGAATGTTGTTTACCCTAATCAGGCAATATTTCTATATTATAATAATGTCATCTTATAATTCCATTGTCATGTTATTTATACTATATGATGACGAATGACCTGAACAAGCTATAGATTGTGCCTCTTATTGGTTGCAAAAGTGAATTCTTCAGTGTATGATGTAATTTTCTAACTAATTTTCTTTATATCATAGTGATGCCTTGATGGATCAGTCCTATCATATGATGAGTTCCTTTTCAATATATATAAACTTGATGTCATGTCTATAGTCCTATAGGATGCAGAGATACCTGCATGATTGAACAATGCATGATGCTGTTTTCATCTACATGTCACTTATGGCATGATGTCATGTGAAGGAGTATACATTGTAATAATAAATGTTTGGACCATATTTTTATTGACCTGAGAATTATGAGATCCAAAGTAATATTCCATGAGGTTTGGTGAAATTCTGTTCATGTGCACACACACACACACACAGGGACCAGGGGGAAAACACCACCCTCTTTGCCATGGGACATCTTTTATAAAGACAAGTCCAAGTCTGCATCTATTGGATCATAGTTTGTGTCTTTTGTTCTGCTTTGAATAAAAACAAGTATAGACAAATGAAGTAAATTACATGTATACCTTGACCTTGATCTCACCTGACATGATCCTCAGAATATCCTATACATAAACTTTAACTATTATTCTCTATAGCTAACTGTATAAGAACAGCACTGCAGGAAAAGCCTTTTTCTCCTTATATCTCACAGAGTGTATGTAGGTCATGGGTTTAAAAACGAAATGCATCAGAGCTGAGTGTAGTGAAGGAAAGAGGCTGACATTTCCCTCTGAATAAGGGAAGTAGAATATTGACATATATATAAACAAGTATATACAAGCCTCAATGGAAATATGGAGTTTTGGTTAAAGTAAGAACTCTAAGTGCAGTACTTGGGGAAAATTGTTTTTTATCAGGGCAGAACACATTTGTGAGCCTGTGATCGACTACAGTGAAATCTTTACTCGTGGCTTTAATGTTTGATGTTTTTACCTGTGTGGCCGACAGGGGTCCCTAAAAGACAAGTGATCAACACAGATGAGGCGTGAACCTGAAAGTGAAACAAAAGAGCAGACAGGACTTCAGCAGGAAATCCAGAGGAATAACTTAGTCCGAGTAACTGCGTCATGGAGGTAAGTGTCCTGTGTTTTTCATTAAAGTAGATGAAGAGGCCAAGGGAAAGTGAGGAATGGTGACAGGGGCTTTGAGTCGGTGAAGGTGTGACACTTCACCACTGTCGCTGTGGTTTCTGTAAATGAGACGTAAGGTTTCTACCTTTTCTCTCACACACGCGCACGGTGACCGTGTGTGTTGGATGTGCAAACACACAAACCAACACAACATATAATCTTAGCATGAACAAAAGATGACCTATTTCAAGTTTCCATATGTAGATGAAACCAGGAATTGATCACTGACGATCGTTCCAGCGCTCAGCAGCACGCAGTACAACAAGAAAGGGGAATATCTTTGCCACATGTTCTACTCCCTGTGGTAAACATGGCTCTTGTGTTGGTAGTACAAGAGGTTAGTGGTGTTTGAATCTGTTGAGGAGAGTGGTCTGTGTCTTAGTTTATAAAATATAGTTTTCTGTTCGTTGTCAGACTTTTTATACCCAAACCATGTCCATGTAAGAGAAGTAGCCCCAGTAAGTAGGTACGAGATCTCCATTATGATTCAGTTAGTCAGAGAGCTTCTCCTCTTCAGAAATACAGCTGATTGGAACAAATAAGCTGAAAAAATAAAATCCTGGCTTTAAAGAACAATAAGATAGATAGATAGATAGATAGATAGATTACTTTATTCATCCCCGGAGGGAAATTAAGTTGTCATAGCAGCTGG